AGGAGAGGAGCGCCTTAGACATAAGGGTTCCGCTTAAGTAGCCTAGACATAGGACCTTAACCCGAGGTTGCGACTATTTCCATCCTAAAACTAAGATATATCTCATAATAGACATATTAGGGAATGTCTTAGGACTTTGAACTTGCTTAGACATAAGTCAAGTGAGAAGCGTAGTCGTTGGTTTCTAAAGTAAAATGCATATTGTCCTTAGCATGTCCTTGATTCTTTGTTGGCTAACTTGAAGTAATTCGGGCTAGGTTTTATCATTATAAGTCCAAATCCCAAATCCAAAACCATTAGTTCTGACCACTTCCCGTTTTACAAGAATCACTCATTCCAACATTCACTATTCTTTAAAACTTTAGAGTTTGGAAATTATTTAGAAGTCTTTGAGGATCGATACTTGGATACTCCATCCATTTTATATTACTCTGACAGGTGTGCGCTTGCATCTATATAATTGTTACCACGCTTAGTGCGTGCGTTCAGCAAGAACCAGTCAGATGCTGCTTGACTTTACAGCAATATAGCTTGGCTTTGCACATTAGCATCATTCCTTGTCATGTATGCCTTGAACATATCTTCCAAACTCAGTGTTTCTAGAAGCTTTTGGTTGGTCTGTTGATTCTGACCTGAAAAACCTGGTGGGTATTGAGCTTTTTGCGGATATCCTTGAACATTACTTTTTCCCACACTATGTCCTCCTTGGTTCCCTCCCCAACTAAAGTTTGGATGATTTCTCTAGCTTGGATTATATGTATTCCCATATACTTGGTTCCTGTTTTGCTGCGGGTTACCTAGATAAAATACTGACATAGGATTGCCTGGACAATTTTAAAACAAGTGTCCACCTTCACAATATGGACAAAGGGCACTTTTCCACCGCATTCACTTTAGCCTTGGAGGCTTCAACCTCACTTGCAGTAGCACTCTTCATAACTATATCAGACAATCGTGATATCTTCGAGTTTAAATTTGCTACCAGCCCTTTTGAACTTGTAGACGTAGCTGCCCTTGAGCATTGATGTTTATTGCGATAGATTCTCTCTAAGATGTCAAAAGCTTCTGCATATGGCTTTGATAGTAAAACTCCATTCGCTGAAGCATCTATGACCAACTGGGTTGCTTAAATTAGCCCATTGTAGTAAGTTTCTATCTGTATGCAGCGCGGTATTCCATGATGAGGGCACTTTTGAAGCAATCACTTGAATCTATGTAACGCCCCAGGATTTTCAGCATTCAAACATGGAACGTTACTAAAAGCCACTTAAAAAGTATCACTCGTACTAGAAAATTAAACCACTAGAAATACAAACTTTGACAATTCTCACCACGCTTCTGTTGCGCTATTCTAATTAATAACACTTACATAAGCTGGCACTAAACAAAACAAACAATGCTAAAGTTCTAACGAACTCAAATCCTTCTCAGTTAATAATTTAGTAACAATCCAACCTTATAGAAACTTTTCACCGCAATCTTCACTAATCAAAAACCATCCACTACACAAAACTAACTTTCTCGAATAGCAGCGAAGAGAAGGCTAAATCAAGTTCAGCTTGGACAAATGTATTATCCTGATAAATATCCTCAATAGATCACATCGTCAAAGTTCAAGTACCTAAATAAAATGTATGTTCTCAAAAGAATAATGCACTGTCAGCCCTATCACATCCAAAAAAAAAATGGAACTTAACAAGCCAATTTAATAATCTCAAAACATACTCAGTTACAAATAAACAACTATAACTATCATATCCAAATTGAAACTTAACGACGCAGTGTTAAGTGGTCTCTCTAGTCAAGCCTCCTCCTCGCCATCGCCATCCCAAGAGCTAGCTCGATACCTGCAAAACTGGAGGGGGAAAAAGAGGGATGAGTACAACTACAGTACTCAGTAAGCAGCCCTTATCTAAGGGTCATGCGCAAACAACATGCTTATCAAGGATACAATGTCATGCTTATCAAAGAATCAACACATCATGTTTATCATTAATCTCGAGCCTTAAATGAAAGAAACATATTTCGAGAAGCAGTTTATGTATAAGTTTAACTAAAAATGTACTATACATGTCAAACTCAGCCTCACATCTTAACTCACTAGTGCTCTTTCTTGATTCCTCCAAGACTTACCCTTCAAGTCGTACCGACCCCTGACCTCGTGTAGCTAAAGCATCGACACTTCTCTACGGTGCTCGGTGTTGGACCTTGACATTTATCCCCAAGGCCTCAATTATTACTCAACCTATTTGCCCTTGGCCTGCATGCAACTCCTAACTTGTCACATTATGTTAGTCCTCAAAGTCTAACTCCTCGAATCATATCGACCCTTGCCATTTATCCCCAAGGCTTCAAACTATGCATCACACTATGTTAGTTCTCCAAGTCTAACTCCTCGAATCGTATCGGCCCTTGCCATTTATCCCCAAGGCCCGACACTCATCTACAGAAGCTTGGCGTTCGACCTTGCCATTTATCCCCAAAGCCTTGAACTGTACATCGACCCTTAACATTTATCCCCAAGGTATCGACGACTACTGAACGTATTAGTCCTTAACCGCCACCACATCAAGACCCAATACTAATTCAACAAAATAGAATCACCGTGCCGACCTTTGACCCTTTGTACCCGGAGCCTCGACATTCATCTCTACCAAGTTGGGGTATTGATCCCCGACCTTTACACCTGGAGCTTTGATACCCAACTAGTGACGTGCCAGCCTTTTTGGCCCTGTTAGTTCTCCATTTACTTTATTACATCCGGTAACTCTCACCAGAGTCCTACTACATACTTTCTAGGCTATGACCCATGCCGAAAATATCTCCCAACAATGGAACATATGTTATACACAAAACCTATGTTACTATCATCCAGACGTGGCCATCCAACATGACGAGGACACCCTTCTCTCAACACTCAGCATGCTTTACACACCACAACGAAGATAATTCATAAAAGAGACGTAACCAACATATATCCATATACGCATCCAACACTCTAAAAATTTCGTAGTAATCAGAATACAACCTAACCCATTCACTTTATTAAGGACCAAATTTTCACCAGAGTCCTACTACATAATTTCTAGGCCATGACCCATGCAACACTCAACTTACAATAAAA